ATTTTTTTTTTCTTATTCTCATTGAGTTCATTTGACGTGAACTCTAACTTACCACTCTAGTCACGTAGAGGCAATTTTCGAGTTAAACAAGTCTTTAAATAATATTAATATTATATTTTTTTTTCTTATTCTCATTGAGTTCATTTGACGTGAACTCTTACTTACCGCTCTAGTCACGTAGAGGCAGTTTTCGAGTTAAACAAGTCTCTATCTTTTCTCATTCAACTCTCACTCTTCAAAGTAGGGGTATACAAAGAAAATCGATAAACCGCACTAGATCGATAATCCAAGTCAAACCATTTTTATTTATCATAATCGATAAGCCGCACTAATACCTTCTGGAAGTTCATACTGAAATTTGATAGCATTTGGAGCTGATTTAAGGTGATTGAGATCGAAATTTTCAGCCGAAAATCGAAAAAGAACACAACTATCCAATAGTATACTGCTACGGTATACAATATGTTTTAGGAGTATATAGCTATACTGCAACAGTATACTATTATACTTTACAATATACTGCAATGATATATTGTAATAATCGAAGAAGAACACAGTTACTTAACAGTATACCGCTACAGTATACAATATACTATAGGAGTATATAGTTATACTGCAATAGTATACTATTATAGTATACAATATATTTGTTATAATATACTGTAACAATATGCAATATACTATAACAGTATGTTGTAATAATATACAATATACTATAATAATATACTTATTACTTGTAAATTCACTTGCCTTTTCCCTTTTAATTTGCTTTAAGCTTTTACCCAGCGTCAGGGGCAAATCGAAAATGCAAAAAAAAAAAAAAATATATTATAGTATGCTATATAATGTAATGGTATACTCTTACAATTAGATCCTTTGAGAATTTTTTAAAATTTTTATTGACAAGTGATATTATTTCAGTTTAATAATTGAATTAAATTTTTTTTAACTCTTTGCGTACAATTGTATACCCTGTTGGTATAGCTATATACTATACTGGTATCATATGTTAGTTAATATTTTTTGGTTGTATTAGCTACATTTACTTGGTACACAATTTGATTTTCTTTAGTAATAATATAAAAAAAATAATAAAAAATAGTGAAAACAGTAAATGAAATTAGATTATGAAGAGAAAAAGAATATATAAAAAAAAAAAAGAAGTTAAATGAAATTAGAAAAGGAAAAAAAAGAAGAAGAAGAAAACGAGAAAAAGAAAAGGAGAAAAGAAAAAAAAGAAAAATAAAAGAAAAGAAGCATAGAAATAAAAAAGATTTGGAGAATAAAGAAAAAATTCCCCACAAAACTACTATAGGTAGGAAATGTAATTAGTTTATGGGTAGAAAAACAAATGGGTAGACAAGGGTAAATAGTTTTGTTTTTGTGGGTAACTGTGTCAAAACACAAATATTTATATGTTTTACCTTTAACTTGTCCAACCTCATGAGCTGCAGTGGTAACGATCAGAACCATATGAGTAAGTTCCGGAAAAAGGAGTAATTCAACGGTTGTACAGATCCATGAGAACAAGAAAGTAATGAAATTGTCTATGTCCTGAACCATATTTTGTTTGTATTATCCCTTGATTATTTTCATATCTTGAATATAATTCATCAGTATTTACGTGTTTCCTATAGAATTAATTTCTTCTCAGTTTGGCCTACCTTATTTCAATCACATCCCACCTGCAGTTTCAATCAACACAAAGACACTGGGCATGCCGTCTCTCTTACCACACTGATCAACAAGCATGAACTTACACTGAAGGCCTGTGATATTTTGAACTAATTAAAAAAAAAAAAAAACAAGCTTGCATGTACACATATGGCATGTAATTGAAACTACGGTATTTTAGCACATAAAACTTGAACTTGCAAATATGAACATGTATACGGTTAAAACCAGGCCTACCCGATTGTGCTATTTGATCGAGATCAGGGAGCTGCATCGAGGGTTAGCGTCGTAAAGAATCAGACCAGAGCACGAAGACGAGGTATCGAGTCCAAGGATCGAGGTGCCTGTCGAGATCGAGGTCAGCAGCGATCGAGACCAAATATGACAGACTTCGAGCAAAGCGCAATAACGAAAAAAACGAGATATCCGTGACTAGCCGAAGATCATGGCGTAAATCTCGGAACGGATTAAATCATAGGCGGTTAATTAGTTAATCATGACATTTATTTCCATAATTAGAATTGTACCATAAATAAGATTCCTCTACTATATAAAGAGGGCCTTAATCATCCTGTAACCATCTGACATTCTCGCATATCAAAGCAATACAATATTCTCTTTTTAATTTTCATTCTCTTGTTTATCAGCTTGTTGCATTTTAACTGTTCTTGCACAACTAGCTTGAGGGTATTCAATCTCGAGGGCCCTGTTCAAACACTGGTTCGCCTTATATTATTGTTAATTTCTATCACTACTCTTTGCATTTATCAATTGGTATTACGTGAAATCACGTATCCTTAAAACCACATTATAAATTTAATTGTTATCTAATTTTTAGGGTAAACAGAACACTTAGGACCATCAGAAAATTAATTTTGCCGTATTAAATACTATAATAAGAAAAAGGGACCAATACATATTTTTAAAAGCATAAAATTAGCAAAATCCCAGTAAAAGTATTGACAAGAAAACAAAATTTACAGATTATGTAGTGGGAGAATTAATTAGCATACCATATGGAGGACATAACGTAACGTTCTCTATACGTAGTCGAAATATATTATTTTGGCTTAAAAAATTGTATTTGACTAAAATCCCATAGTTGGGATAATAGTAGTTGCATCTAAATTAGAAATAAAAAGAGAATTTTATAATTTGAGCTTCATTATTTTAGCTAAAAAAATGTATTTGATTAAAAGTAATGGAGCTCTCTAGCCAATTTTTTTTTTTTATTTTTTTTTTTTTTTTACAATTGACGACTTTTTATACAGTTGAAAGAAATAACTTGCATCTAACAAAAAAAATACATACTTGGAACACTATTATTTGGCAAAATTTTTTATCTAGCTAAAAATAATTGGTTTAGTTCATGTTCGATTTTTTATATACATATTTAGCTCGAAAAAAAATATACAGTAAAAGAAATAGCCGTTGTACCAAAAGAAGATATTAAAAAATGTAAACTTGAGGTAAAATATGTATGGTATATTAAGAAGAAGTAAGAAAAAGTACACAATTAGAGTAACAAACCATTTTATGTGAATATGTGGCAATTAACGGTTAAAACCTTAAAAAAAATGAAGGAGAGAAAAAAAAAAAACCTTCCTCACATTATGACTTATATGAACGATTACTTTCTACCTTAAAAAATGAAGGAGAGAAAAATAAATAAAAAATTCCTCACATTATGACTTATATGAACGATTACTTTCTACCTTAAAAAATGAAGGAGAGAAAAATAAAAATAAAAACCTTCCTCACATTATGACTTATATGAACGATTACTTGAATATTAATGAGTACAAGTAAATAGTTCAGTATATTTATAGTTTTAAGCTCAAATTCTTTTTCTACAATGTGTTTTAATTTCAAATATTTTAGCGACACAAAATAGAATATGTGACTCGCCTATTGTACCTTAATTTGATAAAATAAAATAAATATCAAGACAAGTAGATTTTTGAAATTTGAGTCTAAATCATCCTTCAAACATTTTTTTGACTATAAAAACAAGTAACTGAGGTAGAACGAAAAGTTAAAATTAAATTATTTTAAATATAAAATAATATTATCTTTTTTGGGACAAATTAAAAGGGGGAGTATGTGGACAGTGAATAGGGTGGTATTTAGTTTAATGATTATTCTCAACGTTTTCTTAGAAAAAGGTGTAATTGCTCATTGATATAAAAATATAAGGCAAAATACCTTAAACCACCCTAAATTTGGCTCAGATTATTAGTATCCTCCCTGAACTATGCCCAGTCTTAATTACCCTCCTCAACTTGGCCTTTTGAGGGCCATTACCCCCCTAGACGCTAATGTGGCAAAACGTGTGGGTGCACTCGCCTGCCACGTGGATTTTTCTATCTATGTAGCATTTTCTTACCTTTTTAAGAATATTACTTTTTTAGATAATTTTTTCAAATAAAATTTATAATAAAACTTGGATATAACTGGATTATTTAGGCTAAATATTTTTACTTGGCCAAAAATAATAAAGTTTTAGTTAATCTTTTTTTGAATTTGACCTGAAAAAAAAAGATTTATAAAATTGAAATAAATAGTCAAGGCATCTAAAAAATTTATAAAAAATACATAGTTGAAATAAATAGTCATTGCATCAAAAGAAGAAATAAAAAAAGTGTACAATTGCACTTGTAATTTCTTGCAATTGTACACTCTTTTTATTTCTTCTTTTGATGCAATGACTATTTATTTCAACTGTGTATTTNATATTTTTTATAATTTTTTGATGCCTTAAATATTTATACAATTGAAATAAATAGTCAAGGCATCAAAAAATTATAAAAAATATATAGTTTGAAATTAATTNATATATTTTTTATAATTTTTTGATGCCTTGACTATTTATTTCAATTGTATAAATATTTATTTTCAAGTCAAATTCAAAAAAAAATTAACTAAAACTTATTATTTTTGTCAAATAAAAATATTTAGCCTAAATAATGTAGTTATATCCAAGTTTTATTATAAATTGTATTCGAAAAAAATTATCTAAAAAGTAATATTCTTAAAAAGGTAAAAAAATATTATTTTTTTCAAAAGAATGCCATATAGACAGAAAAATCCACGTGGCAGGTGAATGCACCCACACTTTTTGCCACATCAGCGTCTAGGAGGTAATGGATCTCAAAAGGCCAAGTTGAGGGGTAATTAAGATCGGGCATAGTTCGAGGATACTAATAATCTGAGCCAAGTTTAAGGGTGGTTTAAGGTGTTTTGCCAAAATATTACAACTAGCGCTACGGAAAATTCCTAAAAAATGAAAAATAAAAATTGGCTAGTATATAAATTGAAAATACCAAAATGCTTATACTTTGAAACCCTCGCTATAGAAAAATCCAGAAGAAACTCCTCTATCAGGAAAACGAAGGCAGAGAACGGCGATGGCGTTGAACAACGGCTTACGGTCGTGTGCTTCCAAGCTCATCAGCTCATCTGAATCAATTTTCTCCAAAATTGGTCGGTGCTTATCTCTTCGAGAATTGATGTAATTCTTTGGTTTTGAATTTTTTTTAATATCATTTTATTTAATGAAATGAGCCCAGCTAATTTGTTGACTGATACATAGCTGATTGATGTATGATTTCTTGTTATTTCTGTATGTTGAAGCTGAAATCTCACCAAAAAAGTCAATTTAGATAAGGATTTCCGATTGTGTGATGGTTTCTAGGGATCTATTTTGATGGGTATTTATCGCTTTTTAGATCTGCCCATTTTCTGGGGTCAGCGGAATTGTTATTATCTTGGTTTCTATTAATGAGAACTATTGTATAGGTTCAATGCAATATGTATGCATTTGCTCAGCATGATGAGCATAATATCCATATGGTATGATATATCGATCTAATATTAGGATTTAGTTCAATGTTCTTAATTACGTCCGCCCCTCCTCTTTCCCTCCTTTGTGTTATCGGTTAGTTGTTGTTACACTTGCATTAAGTCATGTGTCTTGCAGGAATCTTTTATAGCTTGCTTAGATGTGTGAGATTTTGGAGTACATCTAGTCATAGAGAGAATTTCACATTTGTAATTAAAGAAAAGATTACATACTGGAATTCCATGGTCCTGAATGTGTTGAATCGAGGATTTATATAGTTGACTCCAACTAGTTTGGGATTGAAAAGTAGTTGATTGATTGATATTTAGAGGCAAGCAGGGTGGGCTTCTTACTGTTAGGATTTCTACTTTTTGGCTGCTATATAGCACATAGGCACCTTAGTATTAGGAGCTATCTTATGATATTTTGCAGCTCCAAAAGATCCCATGTTAAGTTTCTTGCCAAATACAAGTGGAAATGGAAATGAACTTGTCCAAAAAATCTTATATTCCTACTCATCCAAAAAATCTAATTCCAATAGCTCTAGCTCTAGCTCTCGTCTCTCGTCTCTTTGAGATGATCTTGGGTCTGTGAAAATGTGTTTATTGCTTCAAATCTACTATCTGCTGAGGTTAAAAAGGGAGAGCAATGGAAAGCGACTTTTAACAACTCAGTTATAAACTCTAGAACTGATCAGTTAACCTTCTCAAAATTTGGAAACTCTCCTAGTGATATATGCCTTTCTGGTTGGTAGCCCCTCCTTTATCAGACGAGCATGCCTTCATCACTTTTACAATCTTTTCATTGAACATTGTGGCAACTGAAAGTTTGTTTTGCTATGTCCTTCCGGAATGGCTTTCAATTGTTTATTATGTCAACTTTGTGCTTTATGCTTATTTTAATCATTTATACTTGTTTAAGTTAATTTTTCATGTTTTTAAAACTTCCGTTTCTCTCACATTTCATTGCTAAATTTGGTCTTTTCATCTCACCTTTATTTATGATGACTGCATTTGATCAAGCTTGGATGCCATTGTTCATGGTTTTTATAAGTCCGACCTTGCTGATAATTGAAATTCATTGTTTGGTCAGTGAAGAGAGAGATCCACTCAACAGGCGTTAAGAGAATGGGAGGAGGTCATGGGCATGATGAACCTTTCTACCTTCACGCAAAGCACATGTACAACTTGGACAGGATGTCACACCAGAAGCTGAAGATGACTGTTGGTGTCTGGTCTGCAGTCGCCATTGGCGTTATTGTCCCAGTTTATGCTGTCGTCTTCCAGCAAAAGAAAACTGCTTCGGGCTAGATCATCATGATATCGTGTCTCATCCACAATAATGCTGTCCTTGGAGTTTTCAGTGTCGAAGACAAGCACTTTTGTACCTATTGAATTAGAGCATTAAATAGCTTTTAATTTTAACTTAGGTTTACAATGGTTGTTGCTTTTTCTTGTTTCAATTTGGCGATAATGTTGCTATGCCTGGTTCTATAATAATATTTTCTGAATTTACTCAAACACCATAATGGTTGAAAATGTTCTGTTTCACTGGCACTGTGTGTCTGTTTTGATTTCCAATTTGTGATTTTCTTCTGATCGGATGTCACTATCTTTGTTGGAGGTTTTCACCTTAGGAAGCATGACACCAAAAGCGAAGTCCCTTTAGCGCATCTCGTTTCTGCTGCTTAGTATTCGTGTATACTCGAAAGATGGGAGAGAATAGTGGTTTAGGCCCATCGTATTTTTATTTTGACATGTCGTCAAGTAGACTGGCAGCCAAGGGAAAGCGGAGGTGGTGGTTATTTGGGCTTTGTTGGGCAAGCTACTTAAAATACGTAGCCACCTTGTAAGAGAAGACTTGTGAACATAAGCTTGAGTTGGGTGGTTGACTTGGTCTTTTTAACAAACTACTACTACAACAACATACCCAATATTATCCCACACCGTGGGGTCTGGCGAGGGTAGTGTGTACGCAGACCTTACCCCTACCTTGTGAGGATAGAGAGGTTGTTTCCAGTAGACCCTCGGCTCAGGAAAGTATAAGCATCACATTACTGGAAATATAGACAAGAAGGGACAGTACCAAAAAGCCATATAAAAGCAGGGTAAAAACAACAAGATAGTAAGGTGATCAACAATGAAAGAGAACACCAGAAACCTACTACCAACAAAAAGCGAGACTGCGTGACAATACTACTGTTATGAACACTCTAGACTACCTACTCTACTACCCTAATCCTCGACCTCCACACCTTCCTATCAAGAGTCATGTCCTCGGTCAGCTGAAGCTGCGTCATGTCTTGCCTAATCACCTCTCCCCACCTCTTCTTTGGCCTACCTCTACCTCTCTGTAGGTCCTCCAATGTCAACCTCTCACACCTCCTCACCGGGGCATCTGTGCTCATCCTCTTCACATGACCAAACCACCTAAGCCGCGCTTCCCGTATCTTTCCTCAATAGGGGCCACACCCACCTTGTCGCGAGTAACCTCATTTCTGATCTTATCTAACCTGGTAAGCCCGCACATCCATCTCAACATCCTCATCTCTGCTACCTTCATCTTCTGGACATGAGCGATCTTGACTGGCCAACACTCAGCCCCATACAACATCGTTGGTCTGACTAGCACTCTGTAGAACTTACTGTAGCACCCCGAAAAATTTCGAAGTACTTAAGCGTTATTAAGAAAGTTGATGTGTGCTAATTATATTATTTCGTGTGCAGACGGGGACTACTAATATGATAGATATCAATTGGATATGATAATAAGTGTACGAGGCATATTATAAGTGATGTCTAAGGATAGCCTTAAGTCCAAGTCAAGTTGGAAATTACATGATAGACTAAAGTTCCAAATAAGTACGCACATGACCTAACTTTGGATGGGCATATATATATATATATATATATATATATATATATATATATATATATATATATATATATATATATATATATATATATATATATATATATATATATATATAAGGAGTTATGTGGATTTTAACCTATCAAATGAAAGGTCTTTGAGTCTAGTTTCTAGTGCTTCAAACTGTTTGTCATTTGGACATTCTTACAAGAAGTTATGACCAAATTATCAAAGGCTGTCGGAGGGGTTTGTGGATGCGAAGCATCCGGGGCCGCGTCCGAAAGAATAGCTGGCAGTGAAGTGCTTCCATAGCATCCAAGGCCGCGTCCAAAACCCAAAAATCTGGGACTATAAATACCAAGTCGTGGGAGAGAGTATTTTGAGTATTGGGGGTTAGGGTTCTTGAGGTGAAGGGACAATTTTAAGCTCAAATCAAGTCCAATCGACCAAGGTAAGTTGTTAATGTTGTTTTGGGTTGATTCTTACTCAATATACATGAGTTCTAACATCACTGTTGCATCTAAATGCTAGATTTCATCATCAAATCCTCAAGAAGACTAAAATTACCAAAGTTGTAATTTTTCAAGATTGAGCTACTAGAGGTAATTTCAATGCTTCAAACTCATTTATTATGAGTAGTTTGAAGTATTTGAAGCATTAGTTACAAGTTTTAATGGTTGAAAGATTGGATTATAAAACTCTAGTTCATGACACGAATATTACTTTTGAGAAAATAAGAGAGAAGATGAATGGTAATCTTGGCAATGAAATTTATGAATACAACGAACCCATGGAATTATTTGTTAGCAAAAGATGGAGGTGATCAACTAAGTAATCACCCAAATTGTATATTTTGCAAGTGTTGATTATGGAAGAGGATGAATAGTAACTTGGTGGCAATGGACAATTGATGTAGTATTATTAACGACTTCGAATGGGTATTAAAATAGAAGAATGAAGTTGAATGGTCTAACTTGTAAATCTATTTGGCGATTTGAGTTGTTGGAAGCTTGTAGCTAACTTATGAGCCATATATGGATGTTGATCAATATCTTAGGTCATATTTTGATATAATTAGGATATCTAATTGTAGATATCGACATGTTGGTGATGTTGAGCATTTTAATCAACGTTGGGATGATGGAGGAGGATTGAAAGCTTGTGAATGTTAATAAAGCGAAAGTGAGGTAAGTTGATTAAAACTTACTCTTCTTGAGGGATTTTCTCTAAAAGCATGTTTTGAGTTAATACTTAAGTTGTTGCAAATGTGCTTTCGTGCTTGTGGGGACAAACAAGTACGGATGTTTCCATATACTAGAATATTATGTTGCATATGTAGTGTCATGTCGTTTTATAAAATTTTATTTTAAATCTTGTTGGCAAAATGACACTCAAGGTAAATGTTATAAGTTTTTATGAAAACTTATGTATTGACAAGAGTATACATATTTGAGTGCTAAAGATAAGTTTTCATGGAAAATATTTTTTTTGGAAATTGACGAACAGAATAACACTTGTGGTATCTTTTAAAGATTGATGTTAAATTGCTAAAGGCTTTAGCATGTAAAAAGTTATTTATTTAATTTTTGTTCAAATGATTTAGATTTTTCTATAGATGTTATGAGTTGATAAAATAGATCCTTTGAAGCTACTATGCTATGAATCTATTTATGAAGTATTAAATGTGTTGGGAGTTACTTGTGTTCACCGAGATTGACTTCGGATATACTGTGTTCGTTGTCATGAAACTACACGTGCCGGTGTAGGCGTAGATGGCCACTTTGTGGTATAGACTACGGCAGAGTGTTCTCCCTCGAGAGAGTACTATTTTGTGCTATTATTAGCACGGCCGAGTCGATTCATACGGCACTACGATGAGATGACTTGATCAAGTAGGATATATGATACTTGCCGCTAGGTACATAACCTAGTTGACCTTCTTATGTCGGTGATGGTATAGTACTCCCAGTGAAAGACAATGATGATTTTCTTATGTTTAGGCCTAAGGAGCCGAAAGTGATTTCAATGACTTAAAGCAAATGAAATGATTTTGTATGATTTTAACCAAAATCTTGGATTGGTGTAAATATTTTAAAAGTTTGTATTGTGGGTTATGTTTCACTTGGCTTTTATCAAAATGACAAGGGTCATGAATCGATAGAATTTCTTATCGTTTTATTTTAAATATTGGTGCATTATTTTTATAAATTTGTCTCAAGAACTTAAGTTAGAGAGAGTCTATGACACTTATTGAGTACCGTCGTGGTGTACTCAGCCCTTAGGGGCCCCCTCCAGGGCCCTGCTTATTTTACATGTTTCAGGGTGAGTATGATACATGACATGCGGTCAGGACTAGGATGACTCTCTTCCTGAAGTATATGGTGAGGTACCACTCCTATTTCGTTGTAGCTATCATGTTATTTTTTCTTAATTTATGCTAGTCGGGTATTGGCCCAAGTGCTTAACTCTATGATTTGGTATAGAGGCTCCATAGATAGTTGTGGAAGGTTGTAGTAACGGGGTTGTACACGATATACATGAAAATATAATTATTTTACTTAGTCTCATTGTTATTATCATGAAATGTGTTATGTGTGATTTTGAATTGGAAAATATTTCATCATTTAACTTGAAAATATATATTTCAAGGAGCTTTCACAGTTAAATTGGTTTTCATGCATATGATTTGGGTGCATCATATGGGTTTGTTCACTTGGGTCGGGTAGTGTGCCGGATGCCAACGTAGATTTGGGTTATGACACTTACCCTTAAGTTTCGGTGGCACCTTCTTATCACACAAAACATCGGAAGCGAGTCTCCATTTCATCCATCACGCCCCAATACGATGTGTGACATCTTCATCAATCTCCCCATCTCCCTGAATAATAGACCCAAGGTACTTAAAACTCTCTCTTGTAGGGATGACCTGCGAGTCCAGCCTCACCTGCCCTTCCCCTCCTTGAGTCTCACCAATGAACTTATGCTCCAAGTATTCTGTCTTGGTCATGCTCAATTTGAAACCTATAGATTCCAAGGTCTGTCTCATACCTCTAATTGCGCGTTCACACCGTCTCGCTTCTTGTCAATCAATACAATATCATCTACAAATATCATGCACCATGGCACCTCCCCTTGGATGTGGTGCGTCAGTACGTCCATCACTAGAGTAAACAAAAAAGGGCTGAGTGCCGACCCCTGATGCAACCCCATCATAACTGGAAAATGGTCCGAGTCCCCACCCACCGTCCTTACTCGGGTCTTTACTCCATCATACATGTCCTTAATCAACCTAACATAGGCAACAGATACACCTCTAGCCTCCAAACATCTCCACAAAACCTCCCTCGAAACTTTATCGTATGCTTTTTATAAGTCGATGAACACCATATGCAAGTCCTTCTTTCTCTCCCTATATTGCTCCATCAATCTCATAACAAGGTGGATAACTTCTGTAGTCGAACGCCCCGGCATAAATCTAAACTGGTTCTCGCTAAAAGATACACTCCTCCTCATCCTTAGCTCTACCACTCTCTCCCAGACTTTCATAGTATAGCTAAGCAGCTTGATACCCCGATATTGTAATTTTGGATATCACCATTGTTCTTGTATACAGGAACCATCGTGCTTCACCTTTACTCTTCAGGCATCTTCTTCGTTCTAAAAATGACATTAAATATCCTGGTGA